TAGTCACGAACAAATGCTAAACACCAAGAGAATGCTGACGAAGCAGTTTGATATGAAAGATATGTATGTCTCTAACGTGATATTAGGGATTAAGATCTCTACAACACGGAAAGAAATCGTACTTTTCCAATCTCATTACATTGAGAGTGTACTAAAGAAGTATAATATACTAGAGGAAAGTCCTGCGAAAATCTCTACTAACCCAAGTTTACACATAGTAAAAAATACGGGTGAATGTGTCTCACAACTAAAGTATTCACAAGTTATAGGCAGTCTAANTAAAGTATTCACAAGTTATAGGCAATCTAATGTATATTACGAACTGCACTCGATCGGATATACCACATGCTCTGAATAAACTCAGTAGATTCACAAGTAATCCAAGCCATGATCATTTGATGGTTTTAACCAGGGTTCTTAGGTACTTAAAGTATACCTTAACCTATCGATTACATTTTTCATAATATCTTGCGGTATTGGAAGGATATTGTGTTACGAATTGGATATCCAACATGAAGGATTCCAAGTCTACCAGTGGTTATGTATTTATCATTGGTGGATGCTATATCATGGAAATTGACAAAGCAAACATCTGTAGCTCGATCAACAACGGAATCAAAGTTTATTGCTTTGGATAAACCTAGAGAAGAGGCAGAATGACTTCGTAATTTTTTGGAAGATATTCCATGTTGGCTCAAGCCAATATCTGCAATAAGTATATACTGTGATAGTCAATCGGCTATTGGAAGGGCTCAAAGCAGCATGTATAATGGTAAATCTAGACATAATACCATTACGTAACTAATCTCTAATGGCATCATCTCCATTAGATTATGTAAAATCAAAGGAGAACATTGCGGATCCACTTACGGAATGTTTGCCTAGAGATCAAATACGTCGCGTATCAAAAGGAATTTGATTAAAGCCTACTACGTAAGGATCTTTGTTATGGTAACCCTATCCTGTTGACTAGAGATCCTAAGATCTTGGTTCAAATGGACAACTA